AAACAATTTAGAAATTAAAAGATACTTATATTTTATTCACAAAAACCCTAAAAAAATTTGAATTTTTATTTTGGAGTAATATTAATTCCTAAACTTGTAGAGGTGCCTATTAATTTCCAAACTTGAAAAATTGAACACGTTAAATCCTGAACTTGTTAAACGGTTCCATATTTGTCCATAGCGTTATTTGGTCAAAAAAACGAGTTGACCGATCCGACGTGGCGTGTGACGTGGCACGCCACGTCGGATCGGTCAACTCGTTTTTTTGAACAAATAACGCTATGGACGAATATGGAACCGTTTAACAAGTTTAGGATTTAACGTGTTCAATTTTTCAAGTTTGGGAATTAATAGGCACCTCTACAAGTTTAGGAATTAATATTACTCCAAAATACAAGTTCAGGAATTTTTAGGGTTTTTTCCCAAAACAATAAGATATAAATCAATAATACAAAATATAAAGTAAAAAGAGTAACTTGTAGCACAGAATTTGGAAAGGATAAATTTAGATGAAAGAAGGATTATACAAAGGAAAAACAAACGTAAAAGTCAATTATTCTTACAAAGTACAAAAAAAATTATTATACCACGACCGTAACAATATTCAAATATTTAGAAGGAAAAAACAGTAAATGTTCACATAGAAATTACGAATATTTTTGGCTTTGAATAAAAATTTAAATGAGACGCATCGGAAATTTTGGTAAAGTCAAGTCATTTTTATGAGACTAATTGAGAAAACAATATGTAATATAAACAAAACAATATTAATTTCAGTGCCAATAAAATATTATACATACACAGTAGAATAAAATATGAGGACAAAAGAGATAAAGTGTGTATATACACATCCATCAAAACATATAGAAAAATAATTAAAATATACAGGAAATAAACAATTGATAATTTCAAATAAACAAATAAAATTTGAAGATTTGTTTTTCCTTTTTAGTTATGCGTATATTTATTGTGCTTCGCAGTGACTTTTTAAAAAGGAAATGTTTAAAAATTATTTTCACTAACAAAAAATCATATCTATTAAATAGAGAATGATGATATAAAATATAAATTTTGTTTACCAGATGAATTGATCGATGTATATTGAGATAAAACAAATTTAGTAAAATTAATATAAAAATGAAATATATATATATATATATATATATATAGAGTTTAGTAAAATGGAAGTGACTTGTTGATTAAGAAAATATTATTTTACAAGATTGTTTGACTATAATTTTAATAAAAAAAATGATTTTGGACTGTAGATTACCCTTTAACGGTGATAATCTCTCCTAACTTCAATTTTCATTGTTTCCCTTGCGTGTTTATTCAAGCTTGATCTGTGTGATTTCCTCTGTTTTTTGTGTTTGTAAATACACGTTTTTAACGCATTTTCTTCACATACAAAATTTTACCTTTTCCCAACGAAGAATAAAAGTTATTTTCATTGGCAAGAAATTGCTTGGTCCATAAGTAAGCTTGATATCATGTTTTTCATCTATTAATAAATTTGAAACGAAATCTTTATCATAAAAACTCATACAATCTACATAAAATCGATCGTTCTAAACACCCTCAAATAAATCAACAAACAAAATTATAACATAAGAGCTCACACACACACGCACATATATATACATATGTATATGAAATTTTTAATGTTTTTGTGTGGTCTTGCGGTACTTATCCTTAACCCAACGAAGGCCCAGGCTTGAGCCATGCTTGATTTTTCTGAACCCAGAAGAAGCTACGGCCTTTGTCTTCTCAAAACCTTGTCCCAACTTCTCCTTGTACTTGGCCGTGTTCGAAGACGGTGCTCCGCCGCTCTTGGTGACGGCGCCGCCGCCGTGGCCGGAGCCGCTGTTGTCCCACTGGTCAGCCCACGTTGCTCTTCCTCCGTCCATGAATGGTTCTGTAACAGAAATCTTGAAACTTTTTTTTTTTAATCGGCGAGTGAATAACAAGTCTTGGATATTGGATGCAAATGTGAGAATTCTGTATAAATATATGCAATACAATACGCGTATACGTGGAGAAGTCGATCCATTTGGGGGAATATTGACGGGGACTTCGAATCTGTTCACACGTACGAGCGGTCCTTTGAGTGGTCAATCTTCTTTGGCATCTTTGCTTTAGCAGCCAAAAATGACTTTGGTCATCGTTTGTATATTATATGGTTTTCATGGGAACATACTTTTTGGGATATTAAAAATAACATTTTTTTGGTTGAGTCGATGGGTATTATGATATATTTTATTTGATACGGAGGAAGCATTCTTTTGAGGAAACTTCTCACGAAGGTTTTATGAATATATATACGCTATTTTTTATTTAAATTTTTAGATCAACGGTCATATTCTTTTGGTCGAAGATTTTATGAATGTCTGTTATAATTTTAAAATTATTTTATATACAAAAGAATGTTTCTACGAAAATATACATCACGCGTAATCATTAATTTTATATATCAATCTGTTATATCATTATTTTTATATATCAATCTGTTATGTCATTTTTTTTAATCTGTTAGTGTTCGGAAGCTTTTTTCTTTTTTGGGTATTGGTGTTTGGAATCTTTAAAAGTCTCTCCAGCAACCAGCAGAGAACCTTCTTCTTACTTCGGAGGCTTTCACCTGACCGCGTACACCCGAGGCTAGTTTCACCAATGAATCTAATAGTCTTCGTTAACTTACACGATGTTTCTAGAAACTGGAAATATTCCTTTAGACCAAACACAGTTTATGGTTTTGTCTTCAAACAAATTAAGAAAGCCTAGACCAAGAACAATATGAAGGTAACTTTACTCGCTTCGACACGTTTGAGCTTTCACAACAACGAACGAGAGTGGCATAGGTCCAGATTTAACCACATATAGTGATCTCGTAGAGACGTATGGGAAACTGAAAAGTTGGAAAAGTTTTTAGAGGCATGTATACAAAATTCGGGCCTATTAAGGAGGCCACGGGGGCTTTTCGGGCAGATTCAGGTTTGCAGGGTCTACACCAAATACAAGTACATACAATACTTTGTTAAGTATGTTTGGACAAAATGAGAAGTACGATTATATTCGCCAGCTTTTTCCAGAGATGAAAGCTAGCAATACAATATTTGGATACTAGTAATTTGGGACGGCGAGTATTTTAAGAAAGTTGTAACTTTGTCCCATGACATGGAAACATACTAGGGCATCATATTTGCTCCATTGAAGATGCCAGGAAAATCTTACTGTATATGACAGATGAGAAAGTTGTGTAAGGTTCCAACTTGTTGCTTTCAATACCTTAGATGAAATGGGAAACAATCCAACCATTCTATGTTGGAAATTATTCTATTAATTAATTTTGATAATGCAGAGAGTTTATTAACTTCTGTAAATAACTTAACCATTATGATGATGGTCCAATATTTACTCCATATTCTGCTAACTGTCTTTGATAACCACCTAATAATTGAAGTCTTTTTTTATGGAAAAAAGACTATAAAGATCACGTATGGTATTGAGGTCCCTAAGCCTAGCAAACATTCATAATATACACCATCGTTATTGTGTTGCTCAATGTTTAGAAGAATCAAATACTCATATTTCATATCGATATCATAATCATCAATGGTTGGAGGTATGTTGTTTGATTCAGAATTTTATTTCCGTATTCATGATCTTGTATGTTAAAGTTTTGCATATAGAGATCATGATTTAGATATTAGTTTAAATGAATTTTAAACTATCTACCCTTTAAACATGATGGTTAATTCTAAGGACTAGAGATTCCTTCAACACACTGCTTGTTGATGAGTGCATTCAACGACCGGTTCCAGGGAGATGATTCTTGCTTAGTTGATTTGTATGATTCTTGCTTCATGTTAGACTATTCTTGCTTAGTTGATTTGTCTATTGATTGCAAGAACTTCATGTTAGACTGATTCTTGCTCAGTTGATTTGTCTATTGCATAGTTGGACCCATGATTTTGTAGCCATTGATTGTTTGTTTCAACGTGCTGATTATTTCACTTGTAAGTACATTTATGTATTAACGAAACTCTTATTCAGTTGTGAGTATATTTTATATGAAGATGTGTATACTATATTTGATATTGAAAAGACTCATTCATTTGGACCTAGAATAAGCATAAGGCTTATTCATTAAGCTTGTGTTATCATATAAAGTTTGAATAGACATTATATCTTGTAATACATGGAAGATAATACTCGTATTAAGAAGACTTGTCGTCATGATTCATATATTTATGTTTCTTATTAAGAGTAATATATGGACAAAGGGGAGAATGTTGGAAATTATTTTATTAATTAATTTTCATAATGCATGGAGTTTATTAACTTCCGTAAATAACTTAACCATTATGGTGATGGTCCAATATTTACTCCATGTTCTGCTAATTGTCTTTGATAACCATCTAATAGCTGAAGTCTTTTTTTATAGAAAAAAGACTATAAAGATCACGTATGGTATTGAGGTCCCTAAGCCTAGCAAACATTCATAATATACACCATCGTTATTGTGTTGCTCAATGTTTAGAAGAATCAAATACTCATATTTCAGATCGATATCATAATCATCAATGTCTAGAGGTATGTTGTTTGATTCAGAATTTTATTTTCGCATTCATGATTTTGTATATTAACGTTTTGTATATAGATATCATGATTTAGATATTAGTTTAAATGAATTTTAGACTATCATTTGGTATAAGAGCATGTTAATCTCTGTTTTGAAAATTATGTTGTTCATGAAATCTGCTAGATTAAATAGTACGTTTTATTACATCTATTATGGTTAAAAAATAAATTTTTTGTATTCCATTTCGTTAAGGAATATTTAGTTTTCCTGATGCATTAACAATTTTTCATCCAAATTTATGAATCTTTAAAATAGTGGATTGAATCTTGTGATCTTTGATGTGTTAGGTCATTTAGAGATTTCTATTAAAATGACCCATGATAGATCTGAAATATTTAGGTTTTCTGATGCATTACACGCATGAATGATACCTTGATTATCCTATGCTAGATCTGTGGCTCCATGTGATTTGTAGTGGCGGTGATTCTCTTCTCTGTTTGGATCTCTGAACGATATTAATGAAATGATTTCGGTAATGACCGTTGGTCAGGCCACCACCGGAATCATCGTTGTTATTAGAGGGAGTTCAATTAAAAAAATAGAGAGAGAGAGGAGAACAGAGGAGTCGTCGCCGCATAAGAAACCTTATGCACAGATAACACAAAGAAGATGTTAGGGTTTTTCTGATTTATTTTATTAAAAAAAATTAATGAGAATGGGTCTCAATTGGGCTTGAACATGGGTCGTGAATTACATAGATTACACAACCACTAGGCTAAAGCAACACTCATGTACCCAGTTACATTATGACATATTTATATCGTAATTAAATAATAAGGGAAAAGGAATCACAGGTGGATTCGGAAGGCACAACCACTAGGTTACGCCTATTTCATGGTAATAATTTGTGTTTACATTAATAAATGTCTAGTGATCTGTATAATTTATTTAAATTAGAAAATAACCACATCATCTCTAATTAGAATTAAATTATATGTAAATTTTGTTATTGGATCACATTTAGTTAAAGATATTGATTGTAATTAATCGCATTGATATAATGAAATTTATCCCACAAGAAATTTTATTATATTTATGTAATTAATTATGATGGAAAGTCGATTATATTTCTTAATTTATCCACAGAGATTGTGAAATGAATGTAATATGCTGGTTTCATCATTAAGTTTAATAAAAATATGAATATATTTGAATTAGAAACTTAGTCCACAAGCATTTTTTATATCATATGATTCATATTGTTGATGTTTTTACATTGGTAAAACATTACATACAGTTGCCTCATTTTTATTAATATAAGTATGTATATTGATCTATTTTGTGCAGTTTTTTCAACCTATGAATGTCTCTGACATGAAATGTGAAATTCCCGAGTCCAGAGGGGATAACTATAAGGTGTGGAAGGAAAGAATCTTGCTCCATTTGGGGTGGATGGACATTGACTATGCTATTCAGAAAGACGAGCCGCCTCCGATGTTCATGTTGGTATTAAAAGATGTGTTGTGAATGGAGAATCCTCTATGTTATGCCATCAGAGATTAAGAGATTAGTAAAAGATGGAGTACTTAGTACTCTAGATTTTTCTGATTTCGAAACCTGTGTGGACTACATAAAGAGAAATCATACCAACACATCAAAGAAATGTGCAAAGAGGAGTTCAGATCTATTAGAGATCATACACGAATATATGTTGTCCAGACATGGATGTATATCGACAGAAATATTTCATCACTTTCATAGATAATTACTCGCGATACATGTATCTCTACTTTCTTGATAACAAGAGTGAAGCACTAGATGATTTTAAACTCTTTAAGGCAGAAGTAGATAAACAATACGGTAAGCAAATAAAGATCGTGAAATCAAATAGAAGTGGTGAATATTACGGTAGATACACTGAAAATGAACAAGCACTCGGTCCTTTTGCGAAATTTCGTGCTGAACAGGGATTGTTGCCCAATAAGCCACACTTGATTCTTCGTGTTGGTTTAGTGCTCTATGATGTACTGTTTGCGAGCTTTACTAAGATACATTTGATGTATTGACACTTTCTATAATTTATGGATGAGTGTTTGATTCATTACGTATTGTGCATGCTTTAATATGTTATGAAATCCATGTATTATTATGAACGATACTAAATTCTCTAGTCGTGTATCATTGTGAGAATAATGATATATCAAGACTAGTATGATGTGTGATTGATGATCATATAAATTATCATAGGTATTGGATACGATCACAATCATAGGTATTCGTTGGAGAACGAAACACTCGAATGACCCGCATGAGATTGTCACATGGACTAGCGTCATGACTTGAATCTCATATGGCGGTTCCATGATTGGATCCTAAGACCTGAGATATCTACAGAATCCAACATGATGAGTTGCGTACTTTGATCACGTCAAACGTCATGCGTAACATGAGGATTATAAAGGCGTTTATCAGGTGCGAAACGAATCATGTGCTGGATTGTAGATAGTCAAGACGGGATTTGTACCTCTC